GGCATTCCTTATCAGTTATTTTAAAAGCAGCTGAATCCAACAGGCAGTTGCCCATCAAACAGTGACATTATCTGCAGTAATACCGCTGTGAGCGCCGTTACCAGGGTTACAGTCCACCCCAACTCTTAAGAAAAGTTATATACATTTGTAAAATTGGTTTTGGAGTTTCGCAAGTAGAAACTAGATTCAACACCAGAATGTAAAAATGGCACCTGTCTTCGCAAAGGCCTTGACTAGGAAATTGGTTCAAAACGCACTTCTATGGAAAAAAAATTTCTAGAAAAAGAATATTTTCTTAAAATTCCTTAGTAACAAATTTCCAGAATGATTCACTCAAGGCAGCTGTGAGTTAAAAAAAAAAAAATAATCAAGTGCACCACTAAAAAAAAATAAACCAAGTCTGCAAGATCCCAAAGAGCTGCTCACTCACTCAAGAGCGTCACAAGAATTCCGTAACAGTTCCGTTAACGCAGACGGATCACAAAGCAAAACGCCGAGGAATTCCCGTGACATGCGATAGCGTGATTTTGGTCCTACACCACAGGCTGCTGTTGGTAAAGGAATGCTTCTCCAGCACAAGATGCACCTTTTTCTTTCTTTTAAAGTGAATTTACTGTGATTGACTGGTACATTTATTGGCACCTTCGCCATTACAGACATGGCAAGTTTACAGGCACGGTCTGGAAGTACTGAAATTTAGGATTACAAACGTCAGAAACTTGACAAATAATAGTCATCTCGGCCACAACTGTGGGTTGGGGTATTACAGGATACCGGGCACTTACGTTCACTACCTGACCCAGAGAATCCCAGACTCCCCATAGCTTCAGATGAGGGCAGATCGACATTATCGTCCACCCTGGAGGTTTAAGATTCACGTTATCTTTAAAGTAAGTCACTTAAGCCAATAGACTTAATTCCCCTTTCCAGAAAGGCCGCAGACGTTCCGATTCCCAAGAGAACATCCACCGCGGCACAGGCAAGCTGCCAGGCACCAGAAAGTTACGCGATCTTCCCGGGGAGTTTCACGCGGGCATCGGTCACTTGGTTTCCCTCTGTCTACGCTCAACGGTACCTGATCAGAACCCATCCTTTATGGGCGGCTGACAGCAAAATCAGAATAAAATCGGGAGCAGGAGAGGCAACGGCTATTTACAGTGTCAGAGCTGCAGCACAGGTAGCATCTACGGGAGCCGGCAGGGCACAGACCCCTGCGGCCGCGGGGGAACGAGCACGACGCTAAGGTCAGCGTGCGAGGGTGTGCAGGGCCGCGCGGGGAAGGTAAGCACGGTTATTTGGTTCATCGCGAGTTACACAATTCCTTTCATAATTCACGCTGCACGGAACTGACGCCGAGCGCTTTCGGCTGCGGTATGCTTCGGCAGCCCCCTCGCTGCGGGGGTTAACTGCACATGGGGATCTTCTCGAAGAATCTAAGCAAAGCCCCCCTGAACGTCTGGGTTTATTGTGGTAACTGAGCGAGCTTCGCAAACACGCTGCTTGCTGCGCGCTGAGCATCGTGCCAAATCATTCTGTTAGTGCCAATCGGCTGGAGTTTGTGACGGGCCGAGCCACCTCGTTTGCTTCGAGCTGGATCGCCAAGAGGAAAAGCACTCGGCCGCTTAACGCCAGCAAGGCAGGTCGCTCGGCTTCCGCACCCACGGGCTGCGGGGAACACCTGATGCGAAAAGCTGCAGGAAGGAAGCTAATACTTCTGGAACCGTTTCGGTTGGGGTTTTTTTGGTTTTGTTTTTTTGTGTTTTTTTTTGTTTTTTTTGGTTTTTTTTTTTTATTTAATCTTATTTTAATTTTTAATTATTTTTGCTGCTGTTGCAAGTCTGCCTGGCCTTAACTCCTTGGTGTTTGGAGGCCGTGACTGCCAATGGATGAACCAGGAACCACTGGCTTGAAGGAAGAACCCCCACAATTAAAAATAGGCAAGCAGGGCAAGAAGTGAGTGAATAAGGCGGTAGGTATTAACTGGGAGTCTCCAGGGCCTTTAAGAAAAAATTCAAATGCCTTCCATTATAAAAACACATACATACCATTGGTTTCACTTTATCTACAGTAAATTCACAAAAACATTTAAAACAGCAATCTAGTTCATCCACTACAAAACTCAGAAGTGACATCTTGGGTTAAAAGCAAAGCTATAAACGTAGTTCCTTAAAAAATGCAAACGTATTTCTTTACATACAGACAAATGTTACATGATTGGCTGCTATAATGTGTATATTCTGTTATGTACAAAAAAAGGTACAGGATTAGCAGACTGAGCACAAGCAAAAACCCTTCAAGGACAATCTAACCAAACCACCAAAAACAAAAAGACTGGCTCTTAGTTTGTCGGTCACCATGATTATGTGTGCTGGCCCCTTTTAAAAAGTCAGTGATTTCTTCCCCCCTCCCCTATTTCTTCACTTGATTTTTTTTTTTTCTAGTTTACAGAAAGCCATTTTGTGTAATAATCAGTGAATAGAAAAACTTCACCTGCAAATACAAGGTAGAAATGTTATTTCACAGCTATAGGCTGCAGCATTGATCTCTCCAGATCTCAAATGGAGAATGTACATGTTTGGCTCCCAGTTAATTCCAGATTCTGAGAAAACTGTCCCAAGACCCTGTAGCTACAGCCATGCCGTCATCAGTAACACCTAAACAGCTGACACGGTTGTCATGGCCAGCCAGGACACCTGGAAAAGAAGAAGCGAGGGAAGTTAATATTCGCAGGCCGTCAGGGACTCCAGCCGTTACTCTGCTCGCCCAGGTACGCCTTCAAATTTGCTAAAGACGATGTAATGCAAAACCTAATTACCCTTTGTGTCTTGACCCTGAAGCGTTATACACATCACGACAGCCGTATCAAGAAACTCAACAATGAGGTTTTTAACAATACGTACACACAATATTGCCTCCATTTTTCTCTCTGCCCTTACAACTTCTCCTTCCTTCTGCCCCGAAGATCCCCTCACCCCCAATCAGGCTCTATACTGGATTTCCCATTTTCAGCAATGCTGTCCACAATTGCAGCCATCAAGTACTGCCAAAAACATACGTGATGTCTTCCGACAGCGCCCCGGACACAGAACTGCCTTGAGCTTCCCATGGCTGCAGACCCTCAGGATTAAAAATCCCCCAGGTATTGTGTCAGCAGCACTGCGCCCTGCCGCTTCCCGCTTTGTTTTTGCTTTCCTTCCACCCACTCTTGCACTTGTCTGCTCGCCCGAGGTACCGCATCCCGCTCTATCCGAACTCAGCCTGCCCGTGTCCCTTACGGAAAAGGATGTCTTCTCAGCCCGAACGGCAGGACGGAGGTTCAGAACTGAACCAGGCCCCGCCATTTACATTACTGTACCAAGTGAGAAAGACGTAGCTATGCCGCAAACCTGCTGTCCACCCTGACAGAAGTGACTACTTCAAGGACTAGAAGTGTCCGCTTCCCCTCTCTCCCAACAGCAGGAAATTACGGTCCCCAACACAACAAGGCTGCCGTAACTTACTGCTATCTGCATTACCTCCTCTGATGGGTGCAACAGTCAACGCAAAATGCATCATTTTGTGTTACTTAATTTTATACGCTTCAGTGAAATAAATTTTCTGTAGACGTAATGTAATTTTGGAGGCTGTTCCTTAGCCTCAACAGCTGGTATCTTCCAGCACACAGATGTGTAATGGCCAATACCCAAGAACAGGAGTATTTCAGTGACTGGAGCACAAACTCCACACATCATACAGATGAAACCGTAATGCAATGTAACGACTGGGAGATAAAACCAAGTGCAATAAAATGGAAGGATGCCATTCCAAAAGGAAACAGCGTTAAAAGGAAGCAAGCAGATTCCCTAACATCAGCAACGGCATCGGCTACGAACTGGCTCTGCATTTTGCCTCGATTTGGAATACCCACCTTCTGCTCAGGAAATGGAAAACTTCAGCTCATTGCAGCTCCGGGTACTCACCTGCTCTCTCCCCTTTCAGAGTATCCCACACGTTGCAGTTGAAGTCATCGTAACCTGCTAGCAAGAGGCGACCGCTTTTGGAGAAGGCTACAGAAGTGATCCCGCAGATGATGTTGTCGTGCGAATACATCATTAATTCCTGATCTGCGCGTAGGTCAAAGAGCCGGCAAGTGGCATCATCAGATCCAGTGGCAAACGCGTGTCCATTAGGGAAAAACTGGAAGTTTTAATTGAGAGACAGGAGTCTGACACCAGAAAAATACATTGTTCATGCATTATTTCAAAAACATCACAGGACCATTTTGCCAGGGTGACCAGATAAAGGCAGAATGATTTGTTTTTTTTTAAAAAAATCTGCATGTTAAAAAAATGCAGATACCCAGCTATGCAACAAAACACTTCTACAACAGTACTGCTAACACCTGAACGACTGGACCGTTCCCCAGACAGTTCCCACATGCGGTGTAACAGAGGGAATGCACTGACTCCTGCAAAAGGCAGGCACGTGCAGCTCGGCGCAGCCTGGCCGGGGGCCGGAGCGACCCGGGTGCGGTGGCACGCAGCGCCCCGTCCCGCGCTGGCCGGCCAGCTTGGCTCAGCCGCGACAGGACTGCAAGCAAGCAATTCCATTTCCAAAAAATCCACTCCAGAGCAGAGTCGTTCTTACAACAGCCATATCGATTGAAACGGGAATGAAGAGAGCCCAGCGTATCTCAGGATTCAGGTCTAAGTATAGGAACTGCATTTTTCTACTGGTCATGCTTTTGGTATTTTCTCAGCCTGAATAATTTTTCGTGTTTATCAAAAACAGATGCAGCTTAGACTTAGGTTTCATTCCCTATTTATCAGAGCTTGTATCTTGCAGATCAGAACATAGTGTTACTATGACAGAGAGGAAATATAATCCAGTTTATAAATATTACAAAATTATTCCACGATGAATATTCAACCTAAGTACTGATTTTAACTTTGCCTTCCAGAATATTTTGCTGAAAGCTCTTTGCAACAGAAAATACCAAGTACACGTTTGTTCAACAAAAAAACGTTAAGATGAGGATGCTTTGCTGTTTTGCTCCCTCTCAGTATATCGCATTTATCTACAATTTTCAGTTTTTAACACACCATCACACTGCCACGGTTTCCCTCCTCCATTCTTTGCTTCTTCAAAAAAAGCAAGGTCCCAGTTACTGGACAAAAACATAGCTGAAACGATTCCAAGAACGCTTCAATGCATCGCCAATAACGGTAATAATAATTCGGTTATAAACTAGATCATAAGTTATTAGACAACCTTCTTCATTACATACAATTTCACAGTCTCTACCCTAATAAAGTCATTGATTTTAAATCAAGGTAACCCAGCAGACTGCCAGCGGAATCCATGCAACTACAGCTTTTATCCTCCCCCTTTCATCCCACGTGGAAATACAAGCGATCACTTACACAGACTGCATTAATATCCGACACGTGCCCTGTGAACGACTGCCTGCACATTCCGTCTCGGATATCCCAAAGCTTCGAGGAGGCATCGCAGGCACCCGAAACGAAAGTCCTCATGTCTGGACTTAGAGAGAGACTCATCACATCGCCAGTGTGCCCAGTGAAGGTGGTGGTCTGTTGACCAGTTTCGATATCCCACAAAGCGCTGCAGATAAAGTGACAACATTGACACGATGTATGTGGTTATTTGAGAGTTTATGTTTTAAATACAAATTAAGGTGGGGGGAAGGAAAAAAAAAAAAGGCCAACAGAGCTCAAAAACTCACCAAGTGGTGTCTCCTGAGCTAGTGACAATTTGGTTGTCATCTAGAAAGCGACAACAGGACAAGTATCCTAAAACCAAAACAGGGATGTTAGTTTCAGACCCAGGAGTAATAACTGAAGTTTAAAATCCAAGAGCAGCGATGAAGGTTCTCCCACAGCTCGTCTGTACCCAACAAAACTATTTCGCAGCTCGCAATCCCCCTCAAAGCGAGACCGTTCCATTTGGTGCAATACAAACCCAAAGCTGAAGCACAAATATGGCTGACCTGTATGCCCGGGCAGCTCCCGGCTGACTCTCACGTTGCCCTCTCTGGTTTTTAAGTTGTATATGGAACAGATGTTGTCCAGTCCACCGCAGGCCACGTAGTTTCCAGACGGCGCGTACGCGCAAGTCATCACCCAGGAGGATCTCAAAGGAATGGCGTGCATCTTCAGAAAGACAGAGTTCGTGAATGCTACGTCGCGTGTTAGCTTTCGTTTCTCACCGAGGTCATTCGTATCAGTTAACGAATTATAGCAGATGAAACACGCCAAGATTGCGTATCATGTGCTTCAGTATTTTGGTTTTACAACATAGGACGACCCATTTCGTATTTAACCATCCATACAGACTAGGATGAAAAACACCAACAGTCTCCGGGGCAGATATACAGAACTTCAGTACAACATTATTTAATAGCAAAGCTATTCTAAACTCAAACATTTACAACATTTGCTTGTTCTACTTAGATTTCTTTGTCCAATTCTTCCACATCTCGGAGCTATAGGTTATAAAATGGGACAGCTGTACCCATGGCGACCGGACCGTCTACAGCAGCAGATCACCACTCCACACTCCACCTACGCTTTTCTCATTTAACAGCTTTTTTTTCTTTACCTTTTTTTTCCCCCCTCCTCCTTTCTCTGCCCTCAAAAGCAAAGCGCTCTTGTAAATTCTGAGGTTGTGTGTTTCTACAGTTTAAAACCAAATTAGTTTCAGAAGCAACACCACACAGGCAGAGAGCAACCGCGACAAGCTACTGCACTAGCAAATTCGAGTGAAAACGTTACATAGTACCTAGAGCTATTGCTGCTGAGACACAACCTACAACGTATCGCCAGCAGTCAGCGAGTCATGAAAGGAAAAAAAAAGATTATGTCTGAATTAGGAAAAGACTGCTTCTTTTCATTTTTGCCTTGCAATCATAGAAAAAATAGACACGAGCCCCCTCAAACACACAAATTATGCATGAATTATTGACATAGATTATAAATAACTCTACCTTATTTGTTGTATAACTATCCCAAATAATTAATTTTCCATCTTGAGAAGCACTGACTAGTAGCCTAAATATAAACACAAAATAAAATGTGTTAATATAAAACAAACAAACAAAAAAAATCTCAAAATAGACATACATCATGCACGACTACCAAGTGAGTCAGAACTTTTGTAATTTCTTACCCCCTGCTTTGTTTTTTTTTTTTTTTGTGGGGTGGGGTGTGCATTTGTTGGGAAAAAATCTGCAAAGCTCTGTGTGTTACCTGACCGAAGAATCACGTGCCCACAGGACCGCGCAATTAACAACGGACAAAACCAAACGACTTACTGAAAACCCATTTTATGAACTGTCTCCACAGCTGCTTTTATTTTTCATATTCTAATATTTTAACTACACAGCTACACAAAAATAAACAAGAAATTTAGGGGAAAATAAATACTATTTTGAGAGCAGATTCTAGGTGTATTTCTTTCTGGACTACATGACAGAGTGGACCATGAGGCACTGTTCACACCTGACCACCAGGTGCTCTAAAGGCAGCATACCAAAACTGCTTCCGAGAAGCTAAATAGCTTTTCCTGCTACGTACAAAAGGATCTTTTTTTCAGTGAAATAAAATTCGTTTGTAAAGTTTTTTAAATCTCTGTTATCACAGAAGTTACGTAATTATTCAACATCTTGGAAAATACAATATCCATCATTCCAAAAATATGCCTTACCACATACCCCCCTCTGCTTAAACAGACTCAAAGAACTTAGTTAAAACTAAAAGAAGGAAAGGCAAAATGGCTGTGGTGAGAACGAGCGAAGGACCTCTCCTTTCGATCGAGGCTTCTCTATTACCACGACGCAATCCTCGCTGGTTTTGAGAAGGCAAACTATAACTAAAGAGAAGAAACCCACCCCAGCCACGGTCTGCGATCCCCCTGCAAGGGCACCAACACCAGACCGTACGGCTCCCAAAACCTGACGCCGATTCTGAAGTCGACAATCTGATTTCTAACCCTTAACCTGCAGGTTTAAGGATCACTTGTACAAACCTTGAGTCAGATCCCCAGTGCATAGCATAGATTTTGGCTAAGTGACCTCTAAGCGTACGCCTTGTTCGCATTTGAATTCGACCCACTGAGTCCAGGCTTGTTGTGATCTAAAAATACATAAAACAAACGCCTGAGACACTAAGAACTATTTTTAATATACAAGATAACTAAATACATTTGAACTTTGATAGGAAATAATCTATCCTGGCATGCAACATTAAAAAAAAAAAGGATAGTAGTGTACAACCCAGGATTAGGTCCATGCAACGCTGAGAAAACAGTACAGAAGATATACGCTAACACACTTCACAGCGGCTATACCTGAAACTTCGGGAAGCTTTTTTTAAAATACTACTATGTAATACTGAGGCTGTTTCAGATTATCAAATCTGAAAAGTTTTCAATTAAAACCAATGGAAGAAAATCCTCCAGTATTTACTGCACTGTTACTTTTGAAAGCATGGCAGAACTTTAAATGCAAAATACTTTTGTTTCCAAAATGCAGCTAAAAGACATTTATTTACGTCTTTCTAAATATACTAAACACAATAAACACAGTCTATTTAAGAGGTAAACTGGACACAGGACCCATTAAGATGGTTGGGTTTTTCTGCTGTTGCTTATTTGTTTGGGTTTTTTTGGTGGGGTGGTTTTGTTTTAAATAACTGTATAAATACACAGTACATTTCCAGAGGCTTCTTTCAATTTATCCTTTCGGTTACTAAACAGGAACGGGTTACAGTCATAAATTGTAGGGATTTTTATTTTTTTATATATCAAGTAACAGCCTATAAGCAGAATCAAGAACATACCTGAGCAAGGGTTGTGTCACTACATGCTTTCCTTGCATCCTGAAACAAAAGAATGGAACAATTTTAATCTAAAAAGGCAACACTGAGCACCACCTGAAAGCATCTAAAGGAAAAATAACTCAAGCCAGACTTGCACCACACTCAAAAAGCCACAAGCCAACAACAAGGTAACGCCAATACGCCTTCTGCCACCCTACCGTGTTTTATGGCGCAAGGAAGCCAAAGCACCGGCACACAGGCCGCGGGGCGGTGGAGGGAGAGGGCTTCGGAAGGGCCAGACCCCAGCGACCTTGGAGCCTCCCTTTCTACACAATGCATGACTCAAAGGCATCTGGAGCCACCCTGACGTCCCAGCGCTGTGGATGTGCTCGCTCAGGGCGTGCTGAGCACCCAGGGAAGAACTGGCCCACCTGAGAAAGCCACCACGCACTACAGGTGATCAGCAAGCTTTGTGCTGCTCGAGGCTCCGGCGTTAGCCCCCTTGCCATCACGCCCCAGGCGTGGCGATGCTAGTTGTAAGAGGCTGGATAAAAATTAACGGGCAGGTTCTGGGGAGGACGGACAGCAGGCCTACCGAAGCTTAAGCTGCTGATGCCCTTCACAGAAAATGAAGGAAAAAAATAGTCAATGAACACCTTCATTCGTTTCATCGAACGGAGGGTGCTCAGGTCTCCATACAGATACTCTGCCTTTTTTTTTTTTCATTCTTTCAGACTCTATGGGCACACGACTTACTGTCTGCATGTTATTCAAACCTAGACAACAGACTTGACTTTCATTTGTATAATCAGAGTAACAGACTGGACACAGGTGAGCGCCACTGAGCCTCCTTTGCAACACTCCAGCTCTGCAAAACCTGGTTTCAGTTACAACTGGGACTGCACTGCGCCCCTGCAACTCAGGCTCCCGTCTTCGAAAACCAGAAATAGGCACGCAGTCAGCAACCGCTTCTGAGAAGCATGGTTTAAAATAATCGGCTTAAAATTTGACAGGAACTCTATAGCACAAGTCACAGATAACACTATCAACAGCAGCACCGAAAGACCAGCCACAAGACGCTCTCTAACTCCCTGCAGTTCCTCCAAATACCTTCCAACTTCGGCAACCAGCGAAGCAGGCATCCCAGAAATGGCGGATGGCCCCCTTCGCCCCTCATTCGTGCGTCCCCCCACCCCAAGAAAGCATTCAATCTGTACGCTGATGGCAATGCCCTCGTTGCGAGAGGGAGCGGAAACATTTACTCACGCATTTTGGAACTGCATCAACACATTCAGACTAGGATCTTACCATTTTTCAGGCTCTTGCTTGACAGCTACTCGACGTTGCAACTTTTAACATTTTTTTTAGTGCATGTTTATTTTGACCACCCTTTATAGCTTTCCTCCCAGAAAGCAAGCCTGAGAGTGGATTAAGTCATCTCAACTTATTTTTAAAATGTCTGAACTGTAGAAATATTTATAAGATGTTGACGTCTGGAATCAGGAGGGGTTTAAAATACCAGAGCAACAAATCCCCCAGCACTCAGGACTTATTTCATCCACAGGAAGAAACACACTGGATTTTAAACAACTTTAATGTTTAGTTTAGCTGAAATACTCGAAGACGTTCAACGTAAAGTGAATTCTGAATGCAGTCTGAACGAAACAAAGCAATTTTTCTTAAAGAAAGAGCTATTAGCAACACCTATACTTGAGGCTGTCTAACACTTGCCATACGATTGGCAAAGTTGCAGGAAAAGCAAAGTTTCAACAGGCTATTTGAATTCTCACGTTGTAACCGTCATTTCTACATATGCATCACCTTAACAGAATCATTAGTGCCATAACATAAAAAAGCTCCTCTATATAATTGTAAATTTTTCTCAGTTCTTGCAGTAGACAATGCAGAATTTCAGAAAAATCTATCCGCTCCATCAATGTGTAACCCCCACGATTTCCGAGCACGCACACTTAAGATTTCTTCTTTTTTTCCCAAACTATACGTGTTTTTGACAATACAACGTCTTATTTGTTCAAAATGTCATTCAATTTCAAATGACACTGTGCCAAGTATGTAACACTTCCAAAAAATTGTATCCTGAATTTCAGTTCTCAAAGTGAGGACACGCATCACATGGGAACCTTATTACAGACAGAACGAGGGATCAACTTTAACCATAAAGCCATCCTGCCGTCTTCGCCGTTCACTGATGTTTCAAACTTCCTGCACTAAAAATCCATGCAGTCTCATTTTATCCCTCCAGCACAGTCCACCCGCGTACAGAACAGAGCTACAGCTATAGTAACTGCATGGGGAGGCAAAGGTACCCACATCACCTACAGACTGTTAAAAAACCGACCGTTAAACACTTCTAAAACACTGCAGGCTACAGAAAGTCTGTTGGGAAACTGACAGCTATGCATCACCATTTATTCTACTTCAGGTGCTAGGTACAATCGTACCTGGAACTCGCTCACAAGCACAAAGCTGATTTTTCGTGATTATATTGTTAGAGAAAGTACCAGGCAAAACCCAAGAGTTGTAAACAACTAAGACAGCAAACTGCTAGCTATATAGAAAACATCAGATGCTATTGGTGACCTCACCTCTTTTTAGGAGTGCATCAAAAAATTCCTGAAAGTTACCAGCCCACCAGACATTCCAGACACTTAAAAATTATTATTTTTAAGTGGGGGGACGCACGAATGAGGGGCGAAGGGGGCCATCCGCCATTTGTGGGATGCCTTATTTTTTTTTTAGATCCTATAGCTATCCTCTTACCCATCCCAAACAAAACACCTATTTAGAAAGAAAACTGCGCAGTGATTTAATAAGATAAAGTCACCTATACAGATATGAAACTGAATTATTTGGTCAGAAAGTTTCTTGACTACTAAGTCATCAGGAGCATTTTTAATTGCATACTAATATGAAGTTAAATTTAAGCATAAGGTATCCAACCCTGCACTCGGATCCAAAGAGGAAAACACTAATTGCCAAGGCTGAGCCAAAAGGCCCCAGTGGCAATAGCTGTGGTTACTCAGCTACATCCATATAGATCCAGTCACCAGTTTGGGTGATGAGAGTTACAAGGGAAATGTTAAATCAACCTAAAGCCACAAAATGGAGTCCTCATACAAAGTGCCAATCAGATTTTTATGCTCCAAAATTAAAAAAGCCAACATTCCTGCAGCACAGCCTAGCTCTCTTGCTCACCTGGCATCTCCTTCGTCACGCAACACAGTTTTGCATAAAACCAGACTGAGTGATTGCTAAAGACTGAATTAAGACTAACTGGCTCGCCCCAACATGATGTATTGAGACAGTCTTTACACATCAGGCAGAGGAAGAACTGAAAAATTACGTACACCTTTTATTTGTGCAATGCTGTAATGCAGCTTAACTTTAAGAAAAAGTATTTTAAACTAAAATTTAGTTGCATTCCTCCACAGAGCTGCTAGGAGGGGTACCCAGTGCCACCACACTGACTGATCCCCGCCTTGTGCTTCATTAGCGTGTTAAGGGAAGACGACAGGACACTGAGCTCTCCTTGGGTGATACTGAACAGGCAGCCACCAAAGCAACCTTTGCCCCCAGCACAGCTACTAACACCTGAAGTGTGTTTACCGCATGGCTGATGCTAATAAGCAGCCTAACGTCTACTGCACCAAGCAGCAGACCACCACAAAACAACTGCTGCCAGCAGATGCCATGCTAAAAAAGTCAGCGTGCATGCGACGTATTCTAAGAAACCTGTAGTCTCAACCGACAGGAATGTTTGCAAATAAGGCATTCCCATATAAATCAGATTTATGAATGCTTCATGTTTAGGAAAAGGAAATTTTGATGAACAGACTTTGAAGATCCTTATTACACTTTGTACTTTACTGAAAACTGCATCACTGAAATGTACAGGCATGTCGCAACAGATTCCTGGCAAACTGAGTTCGGGCATGACAGCTCATACTTGGTTTACCTTCAGTGAGTAATTTCAACCAAAAATTAGCACATATGGGGGGATCCGCATTTTCAAGAAAATAAATTCAGCACTCAGCAGGAAGCAGAGAAATAGGGCTTGTAGAAATGACATCCACCCCTGGAAGGCTGTCTGTCACACTCCGTGCTTTGACCTGCATACTTACCAAGAGTGGCAGCGCAGTGGGCCCTTTTAGCCCAGAAACTAGCTTTTCTAATACCCTTAACCCCAACTTGTCGCACCTAGGTTCTAGAAGTTTGCTGCTCCCCTTTTTTTTTTTCTCTTTAAAATCCAAAACAAAAAATTTGCAGAGACACATACACCCCTAGTAACAAAACACAGCAAACTTCAATAGGAAAATAAATCATTTTGTTCAAGAAATATTATGAATGCATTTCATTATACCAACGGCTTACTTCTCTGATTTTTAAACAAATATGCTGAATATATTGTAAGCTCTGCACAACTTAAACAGGAGCAAGTAATAGATGTGATCTTTACAGTTTATTCCTTTAAAGGAGGAACTTTATAATGGAAAATGAGCAATCAGCAATTCTTACTCTGATTTGATTTCGCAGCTGCTCTGCCTCCTGCCGTAACTGTTCCAGCTCACTCATCTTCTTCAGTCTCTATTTCTCACACTCCGCTGGTGAAGAAAACCTGCCAATAAGAGGGAAGAAAAGTAAGTTTCAGTATCACTTTCTCCTTTTTAAAGAACAAAAAAATCCCAAAATCCTATATATATTTATTCTGCCTTTAGAAAGGCTTCCAAATAGATATTCCCTTTAGTACGTTGTCTAATAAATTTGGCAAGACCAAAGTTATTTCCATTCCTGAATTATCATGAAAAGCAGAATTAAGTGAAGTATGTTTTGAATACAGAAGCAACTGTCAGCAGAACCCACCACTGCACTTTAAAAACCTGTTACTGAACGCATCTGGAGCACCCCTCTTCCCACCCGCCCGGAAACCTCTGTCCCTCTTCGCCCCAAGATGGCAACAGAGCACAAAGACCGCGGTGGTCGCCCTGAACATCCACCCTTGAGCTCCGCAGTGCTGCGAACAAGCACCTTCGCACATGACATCCAAGGCGGCCTTTGTTTTAATTAAAGATGAAGATTCTGAATCCTAGAAATAGCAGGGTTTCTACAATTTTTTTCCACATTTTCCCTGGGCAAGGCACGACGAGGTTTTCATTTCAAAAGCACCCACACAGTGAGAAGGGACAGTAAAGATCGAACCATCCCTAAAAGCATCCTCATGCTGGTACAGCCTACAGCAGTTCCCATCTGAACAAGGACTCAAAGCAACCGTAATAAAAAGATCAATAAGCAGTAAGACCACGTGCAAGCACGCTTTCAGGTTAGTAATTATTTTCTATCAGGTTTTTTTCCAGTGTGTTGAACAGTTTCCTCAGATCAATTTTCCTCTTTATCCCCAGTACAGCAGTGCAGCCGAACACCTCTACAGAGACCTCTTCAGGCTATTCACATACATGTAGACTCCAATATCCTTGCGGTGAAAGTACAGCAAGCTAGTAGCTCGCTCACAAACAAGCCAGGCACTTGTTTGTATTTTTTTCATGATAGAAAAAGCACACCAGAAAGGTGGCGGTGGTCCCGCTACATTATCTAAAAAGCCCAAAACACTTCTAGCTTATAGAAGAAAGATGAAAGTCAGACTACTACTCACAAAGTGAGAATTGAGGGAGGAAGGAAAAGAAGTGGGGAGAAGAACCCATTCAAAACACTATTCTAGGCTTTTTATTTAAGCATGAGGGGCAATACAGTAGTGTCCCCCCAATTTAGGCCACTGAAAAATGGCTAAAAAACAGGGGAAGAAAGGTCCCAGTGTGGCTGGTAAATTGTAGACCTCTAGGGGAAGCCCTTTACTTGGCCTAGCTACTGGTTCTTTGTAGTTCAGTAGTGATGTGCTCTGACAGACAGACTCTGGAATGCTTTTTTCCATCTATAAAACACAACACTTCATAGATGTGAAGAGTGAAAGGTTTTGGTTCAAAGTAGCTTACTAATAAGATAATCCCCTTTGGACTAACAGCTTACACAAGCGTTTGAGACCTACGAAACTTCTCACTACTCCAGAAGGAAAGTGAATCTTCAATAACTATCCATCTACTCTTTTTTCCTTTCAATCTGAACCTCCATGCTTTCCACAGGTACCACTGCCAAGTCCATTTCAGAATAAACCCACGAATATACACAAACTAGATCACCTCCAAATCAAAATACATCCTAATCGGTAAGAGCACAGTGGCAGCTTAGAAGGTCTAATGTTTTCAGCTATAGTTAAGCAAAATGTGAAGTTCACACCTTTCCCTCTTAAAGCTATGCTCTGTTCAACCACAAAGACATTATAATCCATATGTGAATATTCTAAGAGACTACTTTATTTACCATCATCTTCCTATTTTAGAAGCCCAGACTATTTAATATTGCTTAATGCACAGCAGGCGTAAAATAGAAGTCATCGACACTAATGTCCGATTTCAAAAATCGAGCATTAAAAACTGTAATCACTTTAGCATGCATGCTAATCGCGTGCCTTTGCAGTCTTCAAAATTTAACTACAATTTTAATATCTTTGATTGGAATACTATACCTCTATGAAATACAGCCCCCCCTTCAGTTCCGACAGTGTCAAAGTATCCTTTTTAAAGTGTTTTCCCTTTTTTTTGTTCCAGAACCTGCACAAAGGTAACACAGACAAAACAATGGACTCCAATGTCTAAAGCAAGCCAGCCATGGTATCTGCCAATGTTTCAGCAGTCTTGCACGCTATTTTTAACAGATGATAAAGATTCCTAACAGAGAAGTTGATGTATCTCTCATTTTCTGAGAAGGGAAGTCGGCTTCTGCCCTGTGATGTGCCACACGCTTCGTTGCTCTGTAAACAGTAACTTCAACACAGAGAATAATTGATCATAAAGAAAGTGAGATTACTTATTCAACTGAAGCATGCATGGCCAGTCACAAGTAGCTAAAGTCAGGGCGATTTTTTTATTGATAGGTAAAACTATGGGCACATTAGAAGATTAGCTGTAGCATCGCACTGGCACTCAAAGACCGTCAATGACCATGCTGCACTTCAACCTCAAAGTCAGTGTTCATGACTTCAGTGTCATTCATATCAGCACTGCTCATCATTAATGCCATTTCTGCATCAAGCTGCACCAGCAGCCAAAGAGCTGTTAAACTTAACAGCTTTAAATCGTTATACCTATACAAGATCCTACACGAACATAATCCAGCCTTCAGAAGCCTTCTCATCTTTAGCTTAAAAATCAATTCCTAAGCAAATTAAAGGACAATGATATTTCGTCCTTTTTTGAAAGAAATAATTTTTTTTTTTTAGCTGAAAAGTCCTAGCAACATCAGTATGTTCTAAATTTGCAAGGTCATTAGCATTACTGCTCAGCAGAAACCTGTCAGTGGCTCAAGGTCAAGCTATACCTCAAGGAATATAAGGGCCTCCAAGCCAGTACGCATTTCTACAAAGTTTCCAGATTCATTTTGGAACTGGACTATCCTAACTTTAAGTATTAAAGTTCCTTTCCAGTACGCAGCCACTGAAAAGCAAACTCTGAGATATTCTTAAGCTATATATAAACACCGGGATACTACAGTAAACAAACTAAGTGCACAGTTTAACCATTGAACTGAAGCGTATCCACCGCGCTCTGTTGTACCGGCTGGCTGCAGCTCCCACTACCACTGCTCATGTATTCGGATGACCATCCGCCATAAAGTATTTAGCAGAAACGTGAGCGAGATGCTTCCACTTGGGATTTCTAATTTATTTAAGCACGACTTTGAGGTGCCCACAGGAAATTACAGAAATTGAGTGGGTAGAGAGGAAGCTGTCACGGATCCTTTTCCAGATTCACACTAACTCTGCAAGCAGCACGGATGAATTCCTGTCAATCTTCTGCACGAACACCTTACTGGGGCCATACTCACGACAGCAGCGCAGGAAGATAAGCACGTGCTTGGAACTTGCGCACGCAGACTCATCTGTGTCTGTTTTAATGCTTCTGATGCTACAGTGATATGGTTAAAAGAGAGGAAAAGAGAGGAAGCCATAGTCAAGATGTAGTTATGTGTGTAGACCATTATCCAGGCTCGATTTACTTGCTGTACACTGTTTATCAGCGAGGTGACCAGTGAAGCACAGCAAGAACACAGAACTGAGATGGCTGGCAGCAATGGCAAAGCAGAGGCTGCATCCTACAAACCCGTCCTCGGTGCAGAGAAGCAGGTCATCACCGCAGCCTTGAAGTGTGCTATTTCCCAATGCTACCAGTTATCAGATTAAAAAAAATGTTTTTTATCAGATTAAATGCTGGGACTGCTTTTGCAGGGCTTACTGGGATTGCAAAGAACAGAAGCGATCTCTGTATTGCAAATTTTTCCTCGCACAACCAATTACTGAAAACCTCAGCGGATTCAACTCCAACCTGTACTAGGTTACGAAGGACACATGCCTGTCCGTTCTCCCCTCCGGGAAGACTGATACAGCCAGGAAGGAGCACTGCTCCACAGCCTGGAATTCTTTATTCCAAACATGAACTTCCCCAGGAGCCCAGCTGTACTGTACTGGGCTGCGCACGCAGCGAAGCCGTCAGCTCTTGCACCCCTATGGGAAGAAAGAGACAGTCTCAGGAGACCGGAGGTAATGTAATGTCTACCTCTCTGACTTATTGATATTTTTAACAAACATTTAGTCAGAGAAAAAAAATATTCTGAGTTACCTTAGGTGCAGAATACTAGTGGTATCCGCTTTTCAACAGGCACAGGTAGAAACCCTGATGAAGCAGCCGGACGCTTCTCTTCAAATGGAATTCACGATGTGCATGATGTACTATGAATAATATCATCTGCTACGGCAGGGAGGCCTTGAGGGGATGAGCAACAGGAAGGGGAAGAACTTCTTAATACCACTGGTAGCCGGGGGTGTACCACTGCGGGACACCCAAGCGATTAGGAAACGGGGTCAAGGACACGAGATGCTTCCATCAGAAGCAACGATACAGGGAGCTCGTGGTGAGCAGTAACTATTGTGTAACCGAGGCGGCACATCTTTGCCCTCATGAAAGCAATGCCACTCGTAGGCTGAACTGCACCGCGGCGCAATTTTTCCTCAGCGGACTTGTGCGAGTGAATTTACGGATACCAAAATAAAGTGCCTCCCAAGGCAAAATAATTAACTAAGTCAGATTCCACAGCATATCTAGTGCCAAGAAAGCCACTGGCAGGCTCGAGTGCTCCGCAGATAAATTACCCCTCACACTATTCCTGATTCAGTAGCAGCATCATTTGCTGAGAGTTTAATCCATTATACAGGCAGGCACCGACAAATTACCACAGGTTCTTGTCTCCAAAGTACTTTCTCTGCAACACGCGGACTCAAACGTTGTGGCTGGAAAAACACCCTTTTCTCTGCAAAAACTCACTCCAAACGCACTTGAGGACGCGCTGTAAGACGACCGGCCGAGCCCAGGAGCTGTGCGACGCGACGCACCGGGCGGCGGCGGGGCAGGAGGCAGCGCCTAGGCAAGCCGGGATGCAGGCAGTTCATCGGACCTGTCACAGGGAGCGGGAGAGCCAGGAAACAGGCTGATATTTGCAGATTACTGGAAGCAGAAAA